GGACACCACTCAGACAGCCAGCAATTTAAGGAGAACATGCGGCTAAACATGTCACTCCTGGTCTGATTGGGGAGGGGACCAGAGAAAACTACAGAGTCCAACATTGTTTTGGCAAAGTTACACACACGATTCAATATTGACTTTAGTGACCTCCGATTGGCGTAACTGGGTGCCATTACTGCCGACGTAAATTATGATTTTACTGTATTTATGTTTACCCTTAGCCAGCAGGTTTACATTTCCCTCAATGTTGCCTGCTCTGGCCCCTGGAAAACAATATGAAATATAGAGTGTGGAAAATAATTATTTGATCCTCTGCAATATCCAAATGAACAGAATCAACTTTTTGGGATCTGGATACAATTGTGTGTCATATTCTGAGGTAGGCTTAGGTAGCCTGGGGACCCTTACTAGATACATGCCCTTGTGGGGATAAAAGCAATGTAGAAGTTATGGTTTTTACAAGATTTTCTACTGTAGGAGGTACAGTTTTTCCAGGAGTTTTTATTGTAGAAGGTACTGCAGAAAGACTGTTGGAGAAAAAACCCCTCTTAGTTCTCTTAGAAACTTTATTTTAACACAAGAATCACGTTTTAGTAGAATGACTAGTGCAGAGGGTCCTACCCTAAAAATCTTAAACTATTCACACAACTGAAATTAGATTATTAATTAATGACTTAATTAATTTATTTAGTCATTTATGTAGCAAACCATCCAGTAAAGAAGATAAAAAAAACTGGCCTCTAGTTCTGTTTGGCATATATTCTGTGCTTTGTGTGAAACACTATGAGGGCAGAGTTGTCATAATTCTATCACACTACAAACAACTGAATCACCAGCCGCAGTGTATGCTTTAATAGCAGTGTAAAAAAAGCATGTAACTCATAGCTCTGTCCATTTTTCCTTTATTTAAATGTGTTCATCTCACCGACTGACAGCTGAATCTTGGTGTAGTTTCCAACTCTCCACTGTGAGTCTGACCCACACCAGTATGTCCCAGCATCATCCTCTTGTATCTTTGTGATCGTCACTGAGAAAGAGTTGGAATAAATATCATCTTGTAGTGCAAATCTGTTTTGACTCGTCACCATGTCTCTGCAGCTGTTGCGGTGGTCTCCCTTACAGAGGAACTTCCTGTTATCCTGATGTTGTTGAGGATAAGGGCACTGCAGAGTTAGTGGCTGTCCCACAGTACCTGTTATTTTAGTTGACCTGACACAGCACCACTCTGTCAGATGGAAAGAGAAAAACTATTTACGATTCAAAAATATTAAACTTTCAGAAAGACTTTTTTTTTT